GGGGTATAAGATGCCATGTGCAAATGGAAGTGAGAGGGCTGCCCGTGGGGAGGAGGCCTAAGATGCCCATAGTAGAAGGTAGACCTCAAACAGGGCCTTGCTTCCCCAGCCCAGGGCCAAGGGCACTCAAACTGAGGGGACAGCATGGGCAAAGACTTGGCCCTGGACATCCTGAGATAATCCACAGATACTGGCGATGTGGGCAGAGGGAGAAGAGTCTGGAAACTGGGGCCAAGTTCACAATGAGACTTAAGAACAAATCTAAAGCTCCGGAAGGTTTTTTGTTTGTTCGTTTGTTTCCTGCAGTGCAGGAGGACCCAGGGATAGTTGGGGACACTGGAAGGACACAGTCAAGTCTGAACATTAGAAAGTCAGATGGCAATGGGCATTGGGAGGGAGGGGTAGAGTAGGCTGCTTGTCCTAAGGCACTCGAATTGGAACTGGGCACTTTCTCATTCAAGAGAGCCCAGTGTCACACCCAAAGCATGGCTAGACCTCTTGTACCCATTGTAAAGGATGCATCAGCTCTGATGCAGGGCTGGGCCCCCTAGAGGCAAGGAGAAGGGAACTGGAGGCCCAGGTCAGAGGCCATGCTGTCCATGAAACCGTACCCAGACAGGAACAGGAGTACCCCTCAAATTGCTGTTGACAAGAAAGCCTCCTTCCAGAGCAAGCAAGGACCTCTTCTCTTTTTAGAGGGAAAAAAAATAATGTTACCAAAAGGGAAAAGACAACTTAGAACCCTAAAGATAAGGATTCAAGTAAAAACGACTAAAGCAGATTGAGCGCACACCTGTCACTGTACTGAGCTCTTGACCTGCAAGATATCATGGCAAATTTGTAAGAAAGCTGTTCACAATGGAGTTTCATTCAGTCATAAAGAAGAATGAAATCATATCATTTGCAGGAAAATGGATGGAACTTGAGAACATTGTATTAAATGACATCAACCAAACCAGAAGGTCAAGGGTCCTAAGTTTTCTATCATATGTGGATAAAAAGGAAAAGAAAGGCTGAGGGGGGGAGCAGTCTCATGAAAATCAAAGAGGAATCAGTAGAATAGAGGAGAAGAAGAGGTGGGGAAGAGGGGGAGGGAAAGGAGAAATACTGGGGAATGATATTGGCCAAGTTATACTGTTCTGTTATGTACCTGTACGAATGTGTAATAAATCCCACCATTGTGAACAACTATAATATGCCAATTAAAAATATGAAAAAAAAAAAGAAAGAAAGCTGATAATCATTCTCAGTTGACAGAGAAGAAAGACAGGTGATTGAGCTGGGGGCACCGGCCACAGGTCCCAGCACCAGTGAACAATGGAGCTGAGATGTGAACCCCATAGTGCGGGCCACTCCACTCTAAGGCCATACTGGCCCTGGTCCTGTGGACACCGTCCACAGTCCTGGCTCCACATCTCTACAAGCAGTCTTCGGAGTTTAATTTGGTTTCCTGAGTGGGCTTTCTTCGCAGGGAGAGTGCTTTCTGGCTATAAATTATTAAACTGACTTCCTGTTGCAAATCAGCCTCCTGTGAGTTTAGACTGTGGGAGCCACTTTTTCCAGATCCTGAGAGGCCCTGGAGAAATAAATTCCAGAGGTTCCTGATGGACAGCCTAGGGCAGAGTCCAAAGTGGGAGCCAGCCTGCTGACCGCCACCCCCAGCCCAGGCCCAAGAGCCAGGGCCCAGGGCGGGTAGGAGTGAAGGACATGCTTCCTCTGGTCCCCACCCCAAGCTCTACCCAGGAAGATTTGGGGGAAAGGACCTCAGGCGGGTCCTCCTCTCCAGGACCCCTCCCTCCTGGCCTCCACTCAAATTCTTTACTTGGCTGCTTTCCTGGGAAGAGGGGAGAAAAAGAGAAGGAAAAGAAAAGAGGAAATAGAGGGGAAACCCGGAGTGGCGAAGAATGTATCCGTCTGTGGTTTGGCAGCAGAAAAAGGTATGGGGGCGTCCTCACTCCCCCACGCAGGCCTAGGGCCCCTGGAAATCCCCACAAGGGCTTCTCCCAAGGCAGGCAGGGAAGGCATCTTCCCACCACCCATCCCTCACCACTTGGGGGGCCAAGTTTAACCAAACTCTGCACAAAGATAAAATTGAGATGCAGATTCCTTCCCTTTGCTCTGAATACAGCAGATTGGATACGGATTTTCCTCTTTTCTTCCCAGTTAGACCGACTGGGGCCCAGAGGGAAGGTTGGGACCAGATGGGGGAGGGGTAGAAGAGGCTCAGAAAGCTCCGGAACCTGGAGGGTGAGGGTGTGGGGATGCCTTTTCCCTGCCCTTTCCCAAGGGCAAGCTCATTCCTGCCTCTGAATTCTGGGCCCTGCTAAGGATGGGGGCTGGGCTTTCCTCTCTTCTGTACATTCCTAGAAACTTCCAAGTTATGCATTTGTCCCATCAGTTTTTGGAAGTCCTTCCTGCAGTCGCACCCACACCTTTCTGAGTGCAATTAAACCCAAAGGGACAAGGTGGGGAGATGGGAGATAAAAGAAAAATGTGATTACAGAAAGTTTAACAAGAGGGGCTCTTACCGGCCATTCGCAATTGAAGAAACTGAGACTTTGGAGAGAATGTCCAGTTTAAGATTAGATAGGGAACTAGTGGCAGAGCTGAGACTAAGTAATAACAACAACCATGTTATTATGTATTAAGTGGTGCTCTGTGTTGTCTGAAGTATGTCATTTTAATCCACAAGAACCCCATGGATTAGGCAGGTACTACTGTCATCCTCATTTTGTAGATGGGGAAACTGAGGCACAATCCAGTTAAGTAACTTGCAAAAGGTCAAACTGGCCGGGCGTGGCAGCACATGCTTATAATCCCAGCGGCTCAGGAGGCTGAGGCAGGAGGATCATGAGTTCAAAACCAGCCTCAGCAATTTATCGAAGCTCTAAGCAACTCAGTGAGATCCCGTCTCAAAATAAAATATAAAAAAGGGCTGGGCATGTGGCTCAGTGGTTAAGCAGCCCTGGATAGAATCCTCAGAATCAAAAAAAAAAAAAAAAGTCAACTGGTAGATCTGAACCCAGAGTTGGTCTCAGCTTACCACACAGAACTCCGCCATTCAGAAAACAGCTTTAGGACACAAAGCCTTGAGAATGGAGCCTGGGCCACCCCAGGGATCCTTGCAGGAGATGAAATCTCCTGAGCACTCTCTACAGTTACTCTGCACTCAGGACATGGGGACTAAAGGTCAGAACTGAAATCCAAGTCCAGAACACACAGGGAGTGTTCCCCTCACTTGGGAAAAGGGACGAATGTAAATGTCCTGAGGACAGCTTTGTAGGAGAAGGCGGGCCTGTGCAGGAAGGAGTACCAAAGGTGCAGGGACAGACCTGATGAGGAAAGGACATGGCTGAGGGCCACTGCCAGGCCAGGCCTCGCACAGCTGCAGTGTGGCCTGAACCAGGTGAAGAGCGTGAGTGGTTCCTGCCTTGCACAGATGGGCACCACCATGGGCACGGCGGTGGGTGCCACCAAGGTGATATGATGATGAGAAGGGTTTCATTTCCCGTTTCCCAAATGTTCTGTAATATTTTATTGTTTTTGCAAGGAAAAGAAAACAAAGGAGACTTGCCTTCTTTAATTACTGGAATTAAATGCTGAGGACGTTGCCAAACACACACCCGCTTATCTATTCATTAGAGCGGCCTCCTGCCTCCTCCCCACGGGCAGGCGCTCGCCACGAAAACATTCTGCTATCAGATATTCCGGGGCTGTGTAAAATGGAAACTGCCTTTGAAAACATGCCTACAGCTCAGAAACAGATGCAAATCCAGTGACAGGCGTGCCTTTTCCTGAGTTTCCAGAAGACTCCCTCACTCAACGCGAACCTTCGCAGGGGGGGCCATTTCTATTCCCAGTCCTGAGCAACGTCCAGAGAGCTAGTCCTATCATCCAAAGAGCTCCAAAAGAGATGGGTGGTGGCACAACAGTATGAATGTCCTTCATGCCACTGAAGTACCCTTAGCAGTTCAAACGGGTGGATGGGAGTGTAAAATTTACCTGGTAGAGACACCAGGTAAAACAGATGGCAGTTACTCAAAAAATTAAATGTAGAATTATCCTATGATTCAGCAGTTCCACTTTTGGATTTGTATCCTGAAGAACTGAAAGCAGAATATTGAAGAGATAGCCACCTCCATAGCAGCATTATGCATGATAGTCAAAAGGTCAAGCATCCCCCAAGAGATGGACAAATAAATGGATAAACGAATGAGGTATAAATGTACAGTGGAATATTATTTGGTCTTTAAAAAAGGAGGAAATTAGCTGGGTGTGGTGGCACACACCTGTATTCCCAGTGATTTGGGAGGTGGAGGCAGGACAGTGGTGAGTTCAAAGCTAGGGTCAGCAATTTAATGAGCTCTATGAAACTTAGTGAGACCCTTTCTCAAATAAAACATAATAAAAAGAAGTGGGGATGTGGCTCAGTGGTAAAGTGCTCCTGGGTTCAATCCCAGGTACACACACACACAAAGGAAGAAATTCAGACGCATGCTACAACCTGGATGAAACTTGAGGGCATTATAGAAAGTAAAAGAAAGCAGTCATAGAAAGATTACTACTGTGTGGTTCCACTTATATGAGGTATCAAATCCATAGAGATAGAAAGCAGAATGGTGATTGCCAGGTGCTGGGGGCAGGGGAAGTTATGGTTTGATAACTTCCATTATGCAGAATAAACAGAGCTCTTGAGATGAATGGTGTGATGGTTACGCAACAATGAGTGTTCCCAACTACTGAATTTTAAAATGCCTAAGATGACAAATTTTATTATATACATGTGTGTATATATATATCATTACTATACTATACATATGCATATATATTTAGTATATGTATATATACTGTAAATCAACTTTTAAGAAGATCTCTTAAAATACACTGGGCTGAGATCCCTGGAAGTGTGCTAATGACCCATAGATGACGGGGTCTTTTTTCTGCTCTCACTCAGTCTTCACCCACTGCCATCCCCTTGCCCTCCCTCTGTGCGCACTGACTCCTGACCAGTGGGTGAAGCCAGCTCTTTACTGCCCATCCCCACCTTGACCATCTAGCTGGGGCATCAGGAGATGGAGTGAAGCTATGGGCATCCAAGACAAGGCCCAGGAGAGGCTGAAACCACCCACTGAAGAGGGAGGACTCTAGAATCCATGGCCGTGTGATGAGGCAGGCACAAGAGACACAGACAGGTGTGGGCAGGGCTGCCCGATGGAGCAGGAGGCTGCCCACTGGATTCCTTTCCTGTTGCTGCTGACACAAATAACCATAGACCTGGCAGCTTACGACCGCGCACGTTATTATCTTACAGTCCCATGGGCTAGAAGTCTGCCCCAGGGCTCACAGGGCTGAAGGCAAGGTGCTGCCAGGCAGCTCACTTACCTGGGGGCTCTAGGAGGGGATCCCTCTCCTTCTCTTCTCCAGCTTCCAGAGGCCGCCCATGCTCCATCATCAAAGCCAGGAGCATCACCTTTCTCTAACCTTCTCCCATAGATAAGCTCTGGCTCCCTGGGACCACAACGGAGGAAGCCTGCCACTGTGAGGACCCATGGAATTGCACAGGGCCCACCCAGTTCATCCAGCAAAACCCCTCCACCTCCAGGTCCTTAATGGAATCACATCCACAGAAGTCCCTCCTGCCATATAAGGTGACATATTCACAGTTCCGGGGATAAAGCCGGGGGCCTCTTTGGAGGCTGTTATTCTGCCTGCCACACCCACCACAGGTCTCGAACCCCAGGGTAAACACCTTTCTGGCATCCAGAGAGTCATCTGTGCCTGAATTTCTGAGAAGGAGGAGCAGTGGTTGATAACCGTCTCCAGCAAGTTAAGTCACATGGTGACAGAGAGGAGAAAAGGCCACGGTTGGGGAGGGAACAATCAGGGAATGTGGATGTTCAGCCTGAGAGGGTGGAGGGAGAGGGAGGACCAGAGATGCAGAAATAACAGGCACAGGAAAGTGTGACAGTCTCCTGTGGGAAAGGGACTGCCACAAGGGGGAGGTTATAGGAGAGACCTTACAGGTGAACCACACTGCAACCGAAAATTCATGAACACTCGAAAGAGAGTTATTCCAAAGGGTGATCATTATTCACTTTCCCAAAGGATTTTCCAAAGCATTCTCCAAGTAACAAGTTGCACTGTGTTCTTAAAATAGGATTTGCACCCGATTTTTCAGTAACACATAAAGGGATGCTTGTAAATCTATGGAAATGAAGTGAGACCAGTAACATCTGCTGATTGCCTTCTGTGCTGCCGGTGTCACCGGGAGACGGAAGGAACCACCGACTGGGAGACGGGCTCCGTGCACATGCGCGCACACACAAGCACACCCGTGGAAATCATCCCACTGATTCCTCTGGGCATTCCTACACTCACTTCACATGAGAACAAACCAAGGCTAGAGAAGCGAGGGACAGGTCCTATCAAGGAACCGAGTCTGGAGCTGGCCCAGAATTCTCTCTCGCTCCAAAGCCCTCTGTTCTTTGGCCCCTCCATAGACGGGAGATATTTTCAAGGCAACAAGGAGTTTCATGTTCGTGTCAGCAACAGAAGCTGCAGTCTGACACTCACGCTCATGGGGTGTGAACACAGAACATTCAGGGAGGTGGCTTTCCTAGTGGCCATTTCTGGGGTGATACTGAAACTTTCAATTAGGGACAAGTCTCTCTCGTTGGAGAGTTTTTAGGGCTAAGACTCCAGGAAGAGGTCAAAATGCCACGATGGAGTGGTTGACTTCACATCTTGTTGGGGAGCCAGCTGTGGTGGGGGAGGAGGAAGAAGAAACCCAGGGCACAGAATAAGGGCTTTGGCCACGTTTGACTTCCCTGGCCACATGTCCTTCTGGAAACACTACTCGTGCTTCAGAACAGGTGACGCAGAGAAAAATGCCAGGAGGTAGTTAGTGGACCCTCTGTCTGCTTCTCTGTCATCATACGTCCAGGTCCCCTCCAACCTCCCTGTTGGCCCTAACTTTCCTTTCTGATTCTTCCTCCCAAATGTGTGGTTCTCCAAGGTTCTTTTCTCAATTCCCTCTTCCCTTGCCCTGGCTCCTTTTGAGTGGCTTCAGCCCCCATCTGTCCACTCTAGGCAGGGCTCTCACTTCCCCTGCTCCATCAGCTACCCAGATCCCAGCCCCTCTTTCTGGAGGACTCTAGACCACATGGCCACCTCCATCTCAGTGTCAGGCACGCGGGCATTACTGGCACAGCCTGCCCCACATGGATTTGTCATCTCTCTGCTCTCACCTGCTCCTCCCACCTTTCCCACTTCTGCCAGTGGCCCTACAACCCCCTCTGGGGTCAGGATTCACATCTCAGCGTTCCTAGGTTCTCCTGGCCTGCATCTCCCACACCCTGTCCACTGTCAAGTCCTGTAAGTAACTTGACCCTCAACAGTGGTTTCCAAACTCTGATGTCCTCAGGACTGGCAGGTAACACAGGAGCCAAGCAGATGGGGTGGGGGCCATGCAGCCTCCTCCTCCAGCTGATTATTGTGAGGACACAGACCCAAGCCTGTTCATTCTTATAGAAAATCCACACATCTGGATTTGCATCAAATTCCCTCATGTTTAAATGCTGGCGACCATTTGCATTTTTTGAAATCCTTACATGCGCCAAATAAAACATGTCTGTCTGGGCCTCTAGACTTCTATCTGTCTCCCAATGGTCCTTTTCTCTGTTCCCACTCCAATATGCTAGTATGTCCACATCTCCCTCCTGGGCAATGGAGGTGCTCTGGAGGGTCTCCCTGGCTTACTTTCTCCCCCCACTCTCCACTGGTCTCAGGCTCTTCAGCTTTCAACTCAAGGCCCTCCCCAGGTGGAGAGAATGGTAAGGTACGGGAGATGGAGAAGAGAAGGCTGATGCCAGTCAGGGTGACAGAGCCATTAATTAACAGAGTTAAACATCTGGTGTTTAATTAACACCCTTCCTCTGCTTTCATTCTCCCTCCCATTAACTTTCCCAGGGGGCTCCACGGTGGGTAAGCTGAGCAGAAACCAGGAGAACTGATTCCTGGCTGGGTCAGGGGAGGGATGGAGAGGGGCCTGGGCTTAGTCCCTCTGTGCTGAAGGACAAGAGGACAGTAGCATAGTTCTCTGAGAACAGGCTAGGAAGAAGCAAGTTTGTCTTTCAGCAAGAGGGACTATGATTAGCCCAGAAATTTCTTGGGCAGGAGCTGGGGCCAGAGGCTTGGTGCCGAGGTTTGTACAAGGAAGTCCACGGCTCTCCTGTGGCTAATACTGCTGGTTGCCTCTATGATATTATTCTCCATTGTCCTCGATAACAAACCCCTGGTCACACAGAGGGGCCACATTCCTACCCTTGTGGGACTCTTGTCTCCCTAGTCTCTTCTGCAGTCATCGGTGCTCATGTGCATGTTCTGGCCAGTGAGGAATAAGCAAAGATCTTCTGTATATTCAGGGAAGGTGATGACCATCCTTGGGAGAGAATAGGCTTAGTGGGCATCAATCGCTTTCCTCTCTCTACCTTCTGCCTTGCATTTGAGTGTGATGTCTTGAGCAGCAGCCAGGATTTAACCATGAAAGAAGGCAAGAGTCAAGTCAAGAGAGTCACAGAATATCCTCATGCTGTTGAGACAGTGAGCCAAGACTGGAGCCCTGGGATATGCAGACCCTGGATATAAGGACAGCAAAGTGGACCTCAGCATGGGCAGTGGAGGTCTGAGGGAGGCCCCTCAGTTTTGCCACCCCAGCACCAAACACAGAGCTTGCTGTGCAGTGAGAGTTTAGTTAACACAGGTTTGTATGAATAAATTCATGAATGGAAGGATGTGCCACTTCTTGGCACAGGTGTCCCAGCGATTACCAGCTGGTAGGAAGGAACTCTAGAAGCTACCTTGAATCCAGCTGATTCAAGACCTACCCTTGTTAGACACCCAGCCATCCTGGAACAGTCTCTCCTGCAGAAGTTCCCCCACCCCAATTCCCCAGTTCCTGTGATGCCCACCAACCCTCTTAATGGGCACTTAATCATACCTCCCTGATGGCCTCAAAGCTGGTTCCCTGGTTTGATTCTAAGCCCCCTGGAATAGACATCACCATCCTTTTTAAGCCCCAGAATCTACCAGTGTCTGGAACACTGAAGGCACTTGAGAAATGTTTCCATTTGAGAGACATGCTTGGGAAGGGTGCTAAGAGGTTGACGACTTAAAGGGCAACTCAGAGAAGAGCTCCCTCGCACCCCCCCAAGAAAATAGTCCCTAGATGTCTACAGTACGGCCTGAAATTTCACTATTAGACATGGACTACTTTGACAAGGTGAGTCACCTCAAGTAAACAATTGGCCACTCTGAGCCAGTTTTATATAGGAGGAATCGTAATAATAAGACCTATTTCACAGTGCCATTGTAGAATCAAGTCAGTATGAATACTCAGCGTAAAATGATCATTATAATAAGGCTTTAAGAGTGATTAGTCTTGGAAGAATCATCTCAGGAATTATTCACCTTGGAATACAATCTCGTAGAGTACAGAGTAGTCAGGAAGCTTAGATTTCCCTTTCCCAACCACCTCACTGATGGCCTCTATTCTATCTTCAAAAGTATGAAAGAAATATCTTGAGTGCCATTTCACAGAAGAAAGAGAGCTACCAAGTGTTGCAGGTGCTGTTGGTACCCCACCCGGCTCCCCACTCCTGGGCCAGGGCACCCTTCCACTGCCACCGCCGAAGTTGGCTGTTCATGTCTGTGCAACCTTCTCCAGAGGCCTGCCTGAAGCCTAAGGCGGTCTTCTCCTCAGGCACACCCAGGAGACAACACTCCAAGGACCATGGGAATAGAAGAGTGGAACCCCCTGCCCCCCCCCATGTCACCATGTATGCAAGTGTGACGAGTTCTGTGGCTCAGGTCATGCTCAGGGCTCCATGTGGAATCAGGCAGCCTAGCTTCTCCCTGTGCTGCACCTGCTTCTTCATGTGGTCACTCCCCAGTCAATCACCTGCACAAGAGTCCTGGCACAGGCTCTGATTCTGAGGAACCTGACCTAAGACCAGCCACTGGGGGCCTCTGCAGATGAGGTAG